TGGGGATCTCATATTTGAAATTTGGACAGCTAATTCCAACACTTACCTTGTACAAACAAATAGGGTTTATTATTTTTTTTTATTGGAAATACGGTTTTCTAAAACAATTAGGAGATATAAAAGGACCGTTGGAAAGTTCTTACTACAGCTTTATATAAACATCCTAGGTTTTTGCACTAACCTCTACTAACCCTTTTCATATTCTCAATCAAAAAGAGAAAAAACCAGACACAAAAAAAAAAAAAAAGAAAAAGAAAAAAAAAAAAGCAAGCCGCCAATTATGTCCGGTGCTTCATACAACCGCTGTCCACCCCATCTTCAGCCCTTCGCCGCCGGCCCTTTTCCCTCAAACACCGTCCACCGTCACCAGCCACCACCACCACCACCTCCTCCTGCCGCCGCCGACGTTCCTCAAACACCGGATCAGCTTCAAGAATTCATGAGGCGGCGTCTACACGCCCATATGGTGCCGGTGGTTCTTATCCCCGTCGATCGTCCTGGTTTTATTCCGAATTACCCCAGATTTGATCCATCTTCGTTATCACACCAGATTGAAGATGATTATTACCAAGACAGCTTCTTTTTCGATGAAAACGACGAAAACCTAATACGATTTTTGGACGAAGAAGAAGGTGGTGGTAGTACCATTGCTGATGAGCTGTCGGAGGATACGATTGTCAAGAATCTGAGAACGAGGGCTTCCGTGGAAATCGATGCCGTAGACTATGAACAAGAAGTGTGTGTTGTTTGCCTAGACGGTTTGTTTGGAGAAACCGAAAAGGTTATCGCAACCCTCGGATGTGGCCATGTTTTTCATGTCGAGTGCATCAAGAATTGGCTTTTGAGGAAGAACGAGTGCCCCATGTGCAAATCCAAGGCCCTCGTTTTCGATTAAATTGAAGAAATTAGACATGGTTGTTTATTATTTTTATTTTTATTTTCGAGTTTCTTGATTTATGGATTTTTGTTGTGTGCCGATTTCTACGGATTTATTGTATATGGAAGTTCAGACAAACAAGATTTATTGTTGTTGTTGGTCTTGTTTGATTTGTTCTGTTGTTATAAGACTTGTATATTTTTTATTTTATTTCTTGTTTGCAAATTGATTTCACCAATCGTGTTTTAGGTTTCAGTTGGAGTTGAAAGATTTGAAATTGAAGGATTTAAGATACTTCCTAATTAAAAAGATTCGGATTTCAAATTGATCACAATTTAAAAACTTGAGTTAATTTTAAAATCCATTGAAGGCGAAACCATCCAATTAATAAATTAAATGGAGTTGTTATTGTGGATATTCTGAAAGTATTAATCTCGAAACCCTGCATTCAAATGCATACTCTTCCGAATTGTAGCATAAATATCCAAGGATCGGAGCAGAATTTATATACTTAATTGTAGGTATACATGTAATTAATTCTTACGTAATCTTCATTTTTACACTAATTATATTCTTAAAACATCAAACTCTGTCATGTGATATTGAAGAACATACTTGAGCGTCGTTGGAGGTTTGTGCGAGGACCAAGTTCCGGTGTCCTAATGCTTGTTTATGACGATATATAGTGATCCCCGTTTATATTTGAAGAGTATCGTACGTGATTGTTTTTGGAGAAGATTTGACGTAGATCACTTATACTATTTTTTTAGTGGAGTTATACTCGTTTCGTCGACTCTCAAGTCTTATAATATCCGCAATTCATAATTATTTCAAGGAAAACTTGAAAACTTATTTCAAATATAGTTATTGAGATGGATTTAGATAATGTATTGTTTTCCGTAAGATAAAAAGGTAACATTAATTTCTGTTAGAAGTAAGCCATGTTTTCAAAAGACCCAACTCGCGATCTTAATTTTGTGAAGCTTGACTTTACTAAACTGGTATATAAAATCTTACTAGATCGATTTTTTACATAACTAAAATAACCCAATTCATCCATGATTCAATCTAAATCTCAAAAAATTCAAAGCATAAGAGCCGAAGGTCCTTTTTATTGGATTTTGAATGCAATTCAATATACGAACTTGGATTTTAGATGAGAGAATTATGGAAAAAATACATTATCACTGAAATAAGTAAATAACATTTTAATAGCTAAATGGAATGAAGTTTTACTTTACTAAGTGAGTCGTTTTGTCCATTATTCAATCTAAATCACAAAAACAATTAGAGATATGAACATTGTAGATCTTTTTGTTAGCTTTCGAATGCAGTGTGAAGCACAATGCATTTGAAAATAAAAGAGTGCATGGGCGACATAAACATACATTGTCACTAAACTAACAATTTAAAAACTTACTAGACTTATTTTCTACTTTACTAAACTCTATGATGCACGGAAACTTCAACACACACGCGTTTCAACGTTTTGGAAACCGAAACTCCATGACACATGTCGGAAACGTTTTGGGGCCGTTTCTATAAATATTCAAAATTTTCGGGGACGTTTCTTATAATAATGAAAAATTAAAAACGCGTTTTCACACAAAATAAATCCAAATTTTATTTTAAAGAAAAACTCCAAATTGCATACGCTTAAAAAAAATCTTAAATATTATGTCTTTTTTTCACTTCTAGTGGTGTTTTAATATTTTTGTACATGTTAATTCCATATTAAACTAAATTGATAATAATATTTTTTTTAGAAATTATAAATGCACCCCTATACTTTTATTATTTAAACATTTTCCCACGTTCCCGTATCCAACTTTTTGGAAAACGGAGTTTCCCCGTGTTCGTTTCCCTGTTTCCCCGTATCCGCGTTCCCGTGTCCGTGCTAAACTCCACATTGTCCATAATTCGGTCCAAATCTCAGTTAAAAACTCAAAATATAAAATTTCTTGAAGTGTTAATATATTTATTATACCATTAAATATTCATAAATATTTATATATCTAGTAATTTTGGAAGAAAAAAAAAACAGAAAATTCTTACCATTTACAATTGGTTACAATTTATGATTTGTTGATTTAGCAAAATAACTTTTGATACGAGTTACGATTTAAAATTCATTCATGATAAAATCTCTTCTAACAAAGTTTAAAATTTCTGCAATTAGAACGAGGGGCACACGCAGCAAAATCCGATGTCTATGAGGGGTAATTAAGGCATTTCACATAGCGTCATCTTTCTTTGACTTCAACCAATCTGCAAACCCCACACGTTTAATTTCCATCAATTCAATACACGATATAAAATCCTCCAATTCTCTGCCCTAATTTCCATCAATTTTTATCCAATTTCAGATCTAGCAACAAAGTAAAAAGGAATTCAAATCAGCTGAATAAGAAAAGAAAACATGGATGCTTTGGATTCAGTTTTCGATCCGCTGAGAGATTTCGCCAAGGACAGCGTTCGCCTCGTCAAGCGATGCCACAAGCCCGATCGCAAAGGTACAATCTTTTTTCTAGCCCGATGTACAACAATGGCGGTAATTTGAATGAATTCTGATTTATTTTTTGATTTGATTTATGAATTCAGAGTTCACGAAGGTTGCTACACGGACGGCGATCGGGTTCGTGGTGATGGGGTTTGTGGGTTTCTTCGTTAAGTTGATATTCATTCCCATCAACAATATTATCGTCGGTGCTACATGATCATTTCGCAGGTGCAGTCCTTATTTTCTAGCGATCCGATGTGAATTTGTTTTTTTCGAATTTTCGATTTTTGTTCGGTGATTGATCTGTGTTGATTTAACTTATTTATTTGTTTATTATGCTTAGCGGAATTGGATTGTGGCTTATCAAAATTTGATGTGTGTTGTTTGTGTGTCTTTGTTTATGTGTCTCTGTGGATTTGCATGTGTGCGTATAAAGATTGAATGTGCCCCAAAAAATTATAAAGGATGTTTTTTTCTGAAATCGAAGTTATAATCAAATCAAATTCATGTTGTTTTTAAAATATAATCTGAATGTTGTACAAGTATATTATGTTTGGAATATCTAAGGAATGTAAGCGAATACTCTGTAGTGTACCTGTGGCAGAGAGATGTTAGTTTGTCGAGCTCTTGGTGTTTGGTATAAAATGGGCAATTTAGGATGGAATCGAGTTATGCCGGCAAATTTGTGCTGTCATATAGTTTACACTTATGAAGGCGTTTTTTGCTTTTCCAGCCATATTTTTGTATTAAGACTGGAAATCGAAGTCGAAATTTAGAATGTATTGAAGGAACTTGAAAGATATTCATTCTTCTCATTTATAACTCAGACGACATTTGCAATATAAGGCATACATGTAACAAGCTTTGAGTTTATCTGTTTGTTTAAGGTGTGCATATGTATGAGTTGGCATCAGTTAATTGGTGAGGACTAGGTTGTTTGCACTCTGGTACAATGCATGTTTTCAAGAAATGAATCCAAAAGGGTAAGAAGAATTGAACGGGTAGCGAGCCTTAATATTATCCATTGCTTGATTTACAATGACAGTGTACAGAATGAGTTAGTGAGGAACCTTGAAAAAATTAGGTGCGTTAGGACAAATTGTTGTATTTAATTGTGATTAAATTCATTAATTTTCTTATCTCTTTGTTTTTCCTTGCTTTGGTTGATGCTCTGTTTGATTCTTGAACTTTATAAGGAGGGAAAAATAATGAAAGAAACTGTCTTATCGTTTGAATTAAGAGTGGGTGTCGTTTGATGCAGGAGCACATTTTTCTTGGTATTTTCCTCACTCAAATTTAAGATCCTTATATATTATAACACCAAGTCTTCGGTTCAAGTGATTAGATGTCGAAAGAAAATTGATTTTTTTTTATTCGAGTAGAATCTGGTTTTCTAATGATTTTAGTTGCTATTCGTTGCACTGCAGAATTCAACTCCGCATACACGTTTGCTTCAATTTCTTGTGTACTTGCCAGAACCAGAAATCAATGTCTACTCTGCTTTGATAATATTTTTGGGCTGTCGATGTAATCAGTGTGCTAACGGAAACAATTATGTTAAATTTGCAGGCTTTCGCTAGTACGAGAAACCATGATAGACAATCAGAAAGGAGAGACAATTATCAAAACGATTAGTTAATCTTTTTGTTTTAATTTTGTAGAACAAATCTTTGCATTACTCCAAATGTACTGGCTACTTTTGTTTCATTTTGTGAACTTCAATCGTGGTTTTACGTAGATCTCGTCTATGTCTATCGTATTTCATTGTTTGAATATGGTTTTCGTGTAGACTAAATGGCGGTTGGGATTGAGGAAACTGCAACTTAAAGCAAGATATTTCAAATGATAAATTAAGTGTTCTTTTATTCGAAATAATTATGTTACGCACTAGGGTTGGCAACGGGTCGGTTCTGGGTCCGGATCGCCTAAACCCAAGATCTTACCAACATCTAAAACCAGGCTTGCCCGACTCATACTCGAATTAAACGGTTTTGATCCGTTACCTGCTAGACTCTTTAACATCAAACAAAAAGTTTAACATTTTTTAACTTTCATAATATTTTAACAAAAGAATATCAAAATTAAAAAGCAATGTTTTACAAGTGCTAGAAAGTAAGTAACAAACTTATAGTTAATTATATTTTTAACTTCTATGACAAATAATGTTCAAAAGTCAATAGCGCTCGCGGTATAAAAAAAAAAGATTAAATGAGAATAGACACAATGGGGCCTGAAATTCTGATACATGAATAAATGAGAATAGACACGATGGAATCTGAAATTCGGATACATGAAATTGAAAATTTATGTATATTTGTATGGGTCAATTTTGGGGTGATTCCGACAACACCCGTAACCCGATCCATAACCATTCGATTCTAGAAACTAAAATTCATTATCTCACCAGAACCACTCCAAACGGGTTTGTTTCGGGTCTAAGACCCGACAAACCCGTACCCATTACTATCCATGTTATGCACTGACCTTTATCGACCAAGAAGCTAACATGTTGAATACAATGAAAGTTGTATTTGCACAAGATTTGGATTTTTTTAGCACAAATTGGAAAAGTTACTGTAAAGTGTTGGAATGTAATATACGGTATGAGTTTGATACCGTGCTCTCTTATTTTTACCAAGGTTGTAGAAAGCGGTAATTGGGTCCGAGTCGGTCAGGCACCGACTCACGATTAATCGGTACGGCGGTGATTAATCGGTGATAAATTGGAAATAAATCGGTTTTTAAAATTTAATATAATATATTTCTAAATATTATTTATAAATACTCAAAACATATATAAAAAGATATTTAAACATAGTTAAATCTCCATCACGTAGATATCCTAATAACATAATAAAAGTTTAATAATTATAAGATCATAATATATAAATATCCTTATAAAATATAAATAAAAATACAATTTTTTTGAATTTAAATTTACTCTTGAACATTCTAGCATACATCATTAGTTCTTTAACAATAACAATTAACATAAATAAAATAAGGCATGAACTCATATTTTCTTTTATTAAAATCCAACTTTTATTTTGAATTATGAAAAGAAAAAAAAAAAACCCGATTTTTAACCCATTTTTACCACCGAGTTTGACCCGCCTTAAAGGTTTGACCGCCTCAAACCGCCTAAAACCGCCTCACATGCAAAAAACCGATTTTTCAAACATTTACACTAAAATCGTAAAGGTTTTGGACCGCCTCCGCCTTGGAGACCGATTAATCGGCCGCCTCGGCCGATTTTTAGAACACTGATTTTTACCATGCCATTCCCCTCCTCAGGCAAACTTCACTTTTTTAACATTAATATTCATATATTATCCTGTCATTCAACATTAATCACATTATATTATGCCATCAAACATAACAGTAGTCCAATCCGATGTAAGTGAGTTAATTCTTATATATGTAATCGAACCGGGCCGTTTCTGAGAAAATGAAGGTTGTAGGCGAGTTTTAAGAATTTGTAAAAATAGACCATGTTTTGTATTATATAATGTACACATTAATTCATTAAGGAGCACGAGTGGACAAATTTTTTTGGATTAGCAGCTAAGATTTTTAGAAGTTAAAGTAAACTCGAAGTTTACAGAACCTCGAACTTTTTTTGAAAATATTCATAAAAATATCATTGAACAAGTAAATATATGTAACTTTAAAAAAAAAAAAAAATTGGTATATTTCAATTTGCCGAAACACTTTGAAATTAGAGTTAGACAACGTAGAATATATTAAGAAAATGCAAAGATTGTTGAAAAACAAAGTTTAAAATCTTGAAATAGATTGATAGAAGAATCCAATGTCTATTTAATTACAATTGATATAAGACATTTTTTTTTTTTTTTGAAGGCAAATAAAAACACTTTTATTAAATAAACTTCTCCAGATCATGAGGAAGAATAGAATCTTCCATCATATCTATAACATTTTGTTGAACAAGAGAGTGAGCTAAAGAATTTCCATCTCTTTTAACAAATGAAAAGGAACATGTAACAAAAGTTTTGCTAATCGACAAGCACTCAGAAATAATAGCCCCGAACGACTCCATACCATCTACTCCCCGATGAAGAGCATTTATCACCTCGAGACTATCTCCTTCAATCATAATTTTTCTCCATCCTCGGTCAATAGCTACCATCATGGCATGTAAAGCTGCTCGGGCCTCTCCATCTGCTATCTTTGGTCTACCTTGAAGCTTACGAATACTCCACCAGACACACTGGTTATTATGATTCCGCGCCACCATAGCCACTTGGAAGTATTTTTTTCCCTGAGGAAAACCTGCATCAAAATTGATTTTGATAATTTCAGCCGGCGGCGGCAACCACTTGGAAGCGGCAGCTCTAGGTGTACTAGAATGAGCCTCACATATAGAAGCCCTACGATATTCGTCAAGGAAATTCATACTCCATCCAACAATATCATTCTTCACACATTTTAATCCCTCGAATAATTCAGCATTACGAAGATACCATATTCTCCAACATACTGTAGCAGCCAATTCAAAAGCCTCTCGACTTAGGTTTATATGAAGATAGCACAACCAGGCACTAAAGTTGGGCAAATTAATGTTCGCATCTTGCAAACAGAATGGGAGATCTCCCCAAATGTCACTCATTTCACTACATTTCATAATGTGAAGCGTGGATTCATAATCAGCCCCGCATCGGTTGCACAAAGGGTTTGGAACAATTTTTCTTCGAAACAATTCTATGTTCGTCGGTAGAATATCAGAGCAAGCTTGCCAGAGAAAAACTCGAACTTTTGGGGGCACTTTTGAATTCCAAATAAATTTCCATTTTTTGTGGTGAAAACCACTGCAATTTGCTTCATAAATTCGACCCATACAGCCACTTGTAGCGACGATATTGTGATAGCATGATCGCACACTAAAATTTCCATTTTTGGAATAGTGCCAAACGTATTTATCCTCTACTTCCAAACATCCCAGTGGAATTTTCATAATTCGTTCTCTATCCACCTCCCACATTAAATTATCAATCAATTGTACATTCCAGGCTTTATTGGAAGTGTCCATAAGGTCGGAAACCTTATCGGGAAAAGCAGTTTGTATCGGTCGCTTTGTGATAATACGGAATGCCCCATCAGTTCGAAGCCAGGGTTCTCCCCATAATGCAGTATTTTCCCCATTACCAATTCTTTTTCGTACTCCCGCAATCAAATGAGGTTTCGCACTTATGATACTCCTCCATGTAGCCGAAGGGCGATTTCCGAGAGTTGCTTTCATAAAATCCGTAGTTGGGAAATACCTTGCTTTGAATATTTTTTAGCACAGTGAATCCGGTCGAGTTAGTAAACGCCATCCTTGCTTTGCAAGCAAGGCTAAGTTGAAACTGTGAAGATCCCTGAAACCAATCCCCCCGTCATTTTTCGAGTAACACAATCTTTTCCAAGACATCCATGCAAGTTTTCTTGTCGAACCATCTATGCCCCACCAGAATCTCCTAATAGCAGATTCAATATCTCGAATAAGTGTCCGAGGAAGAGTGAAACAGCTCATTATATATGTCGGTATAGATTGAAGAACTGATTTGATTAAAACTTATTTCCCGGCCTTGGAAAGTTGTTTCTCTCCCCATCCCTTTATTTTTGTCCACGTGCGTTCTCGAAGGAAACTAAAGATCTCTTTTTTAGATCGTCCCAATGTTGCAGGCATTCCCAGATATTTACCCTGATTCGTTACAACCCGAAAACCCAACCTTGCCGCTAATCTCCTTCTATTCTCATTCGATGTTCCAGGGCTAAAAGAAACAGTACATTTATCCATGTTAAGAACTTGCCCGGAAATAATTGAGTATTTGTCTAAGACCTCTTTTAAGACCATTGCCTCCTCCTCTGTAGCTCGGGAAAAAATTAAAGTGTCATCTGCAAAGCACAAATTAGATACTACAGGAGCGGTGGGTGCCACACGGACTCCATGAATTCTTCCCATATTTTCCTCATAATTGATCATGTGAATAAGAATCTCTGCACAGAAAAGAAAGAGATATGGAGACAAAGGGTCTCCCTGACGGAGGCCTCGGGTCGGCTGGATAAAACCACATTGAGCACCGTTCACCAACACAGAGTAAGTAACAGTAGAGACACATTGCATTATCAATTCGACAAAATTAGTACAAAAACCAAAGCGAGTCAGCACTTTACGAAGGAAAACCCATTCGACTCGATCATATGCTTTACTAATATCCAGCTTAATGGCCATATAATTATTGTTTTTCTTGGACATAGTCTTAATGAAGTGATTAACCTCAAAAGCAATTAAAATATTATCGGTTATGAGTCGTTGAGGAACAAAAGCTGATTGAGTTGAGGAGATGATACGGTTTAAGATAGGCTTGATTCTATTTGTAATCATTTTCGAGCCAATCTTATAGACAACATTACTAAGGCTAATAGGACGAAATTCGGTGATAAGTTTCGGCTGTTTGGTTTTTGGAATAAGCACAATGTGCGTAAAATTAAGGCTCTGGGGGGTTCTTTTATTATTCAAGAAATCAAGGACACATCGGGAGATATCAGGGCCGATAATGTTCCAGTATTTTTGGTAAAATAACGCTGGCATACCATCAGGTCCCGGGGACTTAATCGGAGCCATTTGAAAAAGGGCAGAGGTTACCTCTGTTGCTGTAAAGGGTCGAGACAAGATCTGGTTATCCTCTTCTGATACCCTGGGACTTAACGAGTCCAAAACCTCATCGATCTCATCTGGATTAGGTCTATTGGATTGAAAAATATGCTGAAAATAGTCAGTCGCAATCTTCTCAACAGATTTTGGATCCTCCTTCCACCTTCCGTCTGCGTCCATTAACCCTTTAATCATGTTTTTTCGTTTTCGCATTGTTGCCTTCGCATGAAAAAATGCAGTGTTCCGATCACCATCTCTAGCCCATTGCACCTTGCTCCTTTGTTTCCAATATAAATCCAACTCATTCAACAACCCTTCCAACTCTTTACTTAATTGTTTTTCTTCTGCTTTGCTATCAGCCGTCACACGTCCACTTCGTAACACATTTATTCTTTCTTGTATTTCAGTTACACGTTGCTTCGGCGCTCCTAATACCTCCTTACTCCATTTAATCAGCCCCAGCTGGCAAGCCTCAGTGCTATGGAAAACTTTCGCCAGAGGGTCAGCACCATTTTCGGCACACCAATTGTCTTCTATAATCTTTGCACATTCTTCATGTCGTATCCACATAGCCTCAAATCTAAATGGTTTTTTTGCACGACTCCATTGCTTAGCAAGTCTACCATGAAGTTGAAGCCATATGGGAGTATGGTCAGAACCCGAAGAGGTTGAAGCCATATGGGAATATGCTCGACACGGAAGTGGGGAAACAAAGATAACCAAGAAGTGTTTGCACATGCTCGATCCAGCCGACAACGGACAGTATATGGGTTCTCCCTATTATTGCTCCAAGTAAATCCCTCGCCCTCATATCCCACGTCTGACAAACCACAGTCCTCGAGTGCACTTCTAAAAGCCTCAATCATTCCCGGTGGTTTGGTAATGCCTCCAGATTTTTCAGAATCGCTCAAAATTTCATTAAAATCACCTCCAATTAGCCATGGGATGCCCAAACCTAGAGCCAATTCACGTAGCAGACTCCATGATCGGTGACGTTGAGTCTGGTCCGCGAAACCATAAAATCCAGTAAAACGCCAAGTGACATCATGATTCGGAATTAGAACCTTTGCATCGATATGGTGTTGTGAGTAGCTAAGGACATCCAGAACTACATCCTTTTTCCAAAGTAATGCCAACCCTCCTGATTTACCAACTTTATCCACACTCAAACCAAAAAGATTCCATCTTTTCTTGAGAGTGTCTATCCTCGTTGATGTACTCTTCGTTTCTGATAAAAACACCACATCGGGATTATATTTTCGAAATAATACTCCGAGACAATGAACTGTCAGGGGACCTCCTAGTCCTTGGCAGTTCCAGAATAGACAACTCATGTTGATCGGAGTTTATTCAAAGCATAAATCAATCGATCCATATATAACCCTAGAGAACCGACAATGAGGTTTTGAGGGTTGTAGTTCCAAGGAAAAGAAGCATTACCAGATCTGTCGGTCTGTCAGATAAAGCATAAAACGGAATACGAAGATGGCTGCAAAAGAAGGGTTTTAGGATATGACGACAATTAGGGTTATAAGGACAAAATATTAAAGAGTATAAAACTACATCAATAATCGACCGATAAACTAATAAAGATAAAAGCATATGATCGACTCGTCTGAGAAACAGCAGGAAGGCAAAAATTATAACGATTTGACGTTCTGAAATGGTGAAGAAGAAAAAACCAGCCTCCAAGAGAGGAGAAAAAAGCCTCCCACGAGAGGAGAAAATCTTTCCGTTTGACAGAGACTAATCATATCATATTTAATCGACCATATAAGACATTTCATTCACATCAAATGCAATAATAAGTAAACTTTTTTATGGTTATTTAAATTGTTAAAGTATTTATGTTTTAAATATAGTTTAACACTATGACTAGTATATATAAAGAGTATAAAATATTATTGGGGGCCCCTAATTTTTTCTAAAATTTGGTGGCCCAGTGCGACCGCGTCTTTCGCCTATAGTCAAAACCGACCCTGAATCAAACGAGGTCCAAGTAAGATTTTAATGGAGTTGACTTAAAATTGATGTTTGGACAATTAATAAGTATGGATAGTTTTAAGTTTTATAAATAAAAAATATATTTTTTTTAATGATTTTTAATGCAAGAGCTCGTAAATAAGGACCTTTTGGTACTTCTCCCTAAATCTTAAGCAAATTAAAAAATAAATATATGGAAAAAGTTCATTGGATAATTTGGATTAATTCTGAAAACTTAAGGGGGTAAATATCAATGAACACAAAAAGTGTAGGGCCTAAATTGAAATAAGTAGTAATTTTCCAACACTCACAAATCGCAAATAAAACCCTAGTGAATCCGCCACTTCTCCTCCCCACTCCAATTGTACAACCGGCCGCCGCTCTCTGTGAGTTTTCATCTCTCTCTCTCTCTCTCTCTCTCTCTCTCTCTCTCTTTTCTCTATACATGTTTTATTGCATACGCATATGTCTCTGAATATATATTTTTTCCGTGGTTCTGCACGAGATTGTGGATTACTCTTTTAGATTTTTGGATCTAATTTTTTGTGATTGTTTAATTGAAGGCAGAAATCGGTTAGATCAGTATTTGAATCCGGTTATCTTTGAGCAATGGCTGTCGCTTTTCACGATCTCGGCTCAGCTGCTGGCCTGAAGAAGCTTGATGACTACCTTTTGTCCCGCAGTTACATATCTGGGTATGTTTAATTCTGCCCCAATTAATGTATTTCTATTGGATCTAAGAATCTGTTGTTTCTATGCTGTTTTATTCAGTGATTTGTACTTTTAAACCTGTTATTGTTTGCAAGATTTGATTTTTTTGTGTGTTCGCAAAAAAAAGGGGGTTTTTAGTGTCTATTTGCAATTAATTAGAGAAATTGATTTTGACAATCGAAACCTTATATTTAAATGATTGTGCAGTCACTTCAATTTGATTGGTCTACGCTCAGTAGACTAATGATAATTTTCTGCTGTTTTCATCGTTGGTTCGGTTCTTACAGCTGTTATGTTTTATTGGAAATTCAGTGGTTGAAGGTACTTCATAGTTAATAGATACAAAATCCAAATTCTAATTGGCTGATAATGTGCTTGTATTGTCTTTTTTCGATGCGGGTTATAGGTTGAGAGAAGTAGTGTAATTTATATGTTATACTAATGTATCGTATTTCTTTTCTCAGCTATCTAGCTTCGAAGGATGATCTCACCGTGCTTGCTGCACTCCCAAAGGCTCCATCGTCTGACTACGTGAATGTGTCGCGATGGTACAACCATATCGAGGCCTTGTTGAGGATTTCGTATGTCCTTTCCTAACATTTATTACATTATCCCATTTTCAAATGTTCTTTTTGTCTCGCCTAAATTTCCTGATTGTGATGTATTGATTACTTAATTTTTATTCCGCTTTTTTGCAGTGGAGTTTCCGGCGAAGGATCTGGTGTGACCATTGAGGGCTCCGCTCCAGTTTCCGAGGCTATTGCCACTCCACCAGTTGCAGACACTAAGGCAAGAAATCAGAAGTTCTTGATATCTGGAATTTTGTCAACTTGTACTCCTTTTACGTTTTTTCTAGAATGAATATCTAAACTTGGACCACCGTATTCATAATGCTATCGTTGGATCAAAAATTTAACTTTCAGGCCTCAGTTGCTGAGGATGAAGATGATGATAGTGATGTGGATTTGTTTGGTGAGGAGACTGAGGAAGAGAAGGCGGCCTCAGAAGCACGTGCAGCTGCCGCAAAGGCATCAGGAAAGAAGAAAGAGTGTAAGTCCTTTAATATATTCATACGTGTAACTAATATCGAGATATACATACCTAAAACTTGGTTTTAATTTTGTTGTAATAATTTGGATTATATTTGTAATTACAGCTGGAAAGTCATCAGTTCTGTTGGACATAAAACCATGGGATGACGAGACTGACATGAAGAAGCTCGAAGAAATTGTTAGAGCAGTCGAGATGGAAGGTCTATTTTGGGGTGCATGTACGTATTTATCCCTTATTACTGTTATTCAAATTTAATTTTCTGTTTGTCGATAAGCAAATTATTGTATTATTGAGCTTATGTCGTGATTTTATTTAATTGCAGCCAAACTAGTCCCGGTTGGATATGGAATCAAGAAGCTGCAAATTATGATGACCATCATCGATGATTTGGTATCTGTTGATACTCTTATCGAAGAGGTTCTCACAGTTGAACCCATAAACGAATATGTCCAGAGTTGTGACATTGCAGCCTTCAACAAGATATGTAAGTCAAGTTTTGTTTCGTTCGACTTTCGATTTTCATAGCTATATGAAGTTGTTGCATGGACTGTTTTTTACGTTTCTTATTGGTGGCCTTTTTTGCTCTTTTTTTCTTGCAGAGAGCACCTGTTTTGTTCATCGGCTATGCAGTCGAGATTTTTGCAACGAAGTTCCTCTATGATTATGTTTTTGTTATCGTTTCATTTTGGTTTTAGGGTTTTGACATAATGTTATCAACCTTAATTTATTACTCTGTTATCTTTGGTAATGCAGAACCTTAATTTATTACTTTTTTTATTTTTTGTGATGAATATTTCATGCATTATTTTTAATTAATAATTTATTGACTTACAAATAAAAGAATTACATGAGCTAACCCCCACTAAAGATATGCAAACTTGAACGGGTAAAACTATTTTTAATTGGGTTCAATGTCATCCCTGGAACATAATTTTTCGGCTAAAATTCATTTTTTTCTCCTAAAATACCCATATTACCCTTTTAAAACCTGGGGACTAGAATGAAACTCGGCCGAAATGCCACTTTTTTTGGGTAAATTTCATTTTAGTCACTGACATTTGCAGTCAAAATCAAATTCATCCCTGTGGTTTTAATTGTGTTCAATGTCATCCCTGGAACATAATTTTACGGCTAAAATTCATTTTTTTCTCCCAAAATACCCACATTACCCTTTTAAAACCTAGGGACTAAAATGAAACTCAGCCCAAATGCCACTTTTTTCTCTACAAAATACATTGAACTAAAATTCTATTTAATAATATTTACTAGAACTTATGGGAAACAAATCAACAAATAATTATGTATAAATGTATGTTACGAAATTAACTCTATTAATTTTCATGTCAAATTTGTTGCTAATATTTTTTGTTGGAAATTGATAATAATTTTTTGCTTTTGTAAATTTCTCGTGTAAAATTTTGTTTTTCCCAAACCACATTTTTTTAGGTATTTTGGCATTGTATTTTTTGTTATTACTTTTGGCCCCCTAAAATTTTTGTAAATATGTGTTTTAACCCTTAATTTTTTTGTTTCTTCTCCATAATGTTATATAAATTATACTTGTATATATCATATTTAATATAAAAATATTTAACAAAATGGTTAAAATTTGTATTTTTTTATATAATATTTATGAATATTTACTTATTTTAATTTTTTTTTATCGGTGTCTCTTCAAAATAATATGAGACGATGCCATTCATTTCCAAAATATATAAGTGCAATACATTAAGATTTTTTTGTCATGCTTAAAATATGATAAAACTATAATATATATATATATACTATTTTAATTAAAAATTATCAATATAAACTTAATTTTGTTATGTCTTGTGAACCTAAATTTTTTTCTTCCTAATCTAATCATATGTTCAAATTTGATTTAACAAAAGAGTGCAGATTTTTTGTATACCAAAATGATGCTTTTGTCTAGGTATTGTAATAACATATGTTTCAATGACTATTTTATATTGTATTTTATTCTTACAAACTACAATTTAATTCAGGAAAAAAATTACGGCCACCCCCAATCTAATGTCAAATTACGAAAATTTTCCCTTATGTTTTGATAATTATAATTAGATTATGTTGCATAATAGACTCATCTTGTTGCATAATATTCACACAATTTAGAAAATTCCACTAAATTTGTAATTACCCAAACATGAGTATTTCTTTTTTCTTCGTAATTTGACCTTACCCAAGAAGTGTAATCTACACTTTAATTAATGTTCGTAAGCTATTGTACTACAACTCAGAAGAAGAAAAAGCAGAGTAAAAATTGATAGAACATAAACATAAATATTGACAATATAAAAAAGATGAATCCAATTTTCTAAAAGAAAATACTCATTTATATATTTGGAGTCCCATACAACAATTGCCGATCTATATATTACAATATTTGCATTAATATAATTAATAAAAGCAAAAAAAAAAAAAAAAAAAAAAGGTCTGTATCTACCAATTAGAATCTTGATCCTCATCATCTCCAAAACAGAGGTCAGAGTCAGACAAATCTTGATCCATATCAATGGTGAATCTCAACTTCTCCGTGGGTAGTAATACCCTGCAACGCGGCTTTGTCCAAAACCTCAGATGGTTGACTTGGTCAACTGCAGGTACAACATTATATTGACCACTACTTGATTCTTTGATAACATTCATCATCATATCTTCTTCTTCTTCTTCCCTTGTCGTCTTCTTGAATTCGCCTGTCTGAAAACTGATGACGTCATCACGTTTCTTGATAGTAGTACTGATAATGCGTCTATGTTTGCAACCACGTTTTCTCGAATAAATACCATTATTATTAATAATCTTCTTGTTGAAGGAAATCTTGGAAACCCGTTTTCTCATAACCGCCCCGTAAAAAGACGACCCGTATAGATGATGAAAATAACCATTCTTCTTGCTGCTGTAAACCTGTACGGAATCCTCTGTGGCGGCGCCGCCCATGGCACTTTGTCTACGAATTCTTTTTTTTTTTTTTTTTTTTTTTTTCTTTGCTCTCTCGATATCTGTTTTAATTACTGTATTATTATTTAGTTTGTGAAGCAATGAGTAGTATTTATAATATCCAGTTAAGTTACTTTGTGTACAAGGTAGGGTTAATTATAAAAGACGGCGGATCAAATATTTTATACATGGAAATTTCTCACAACCAACGACTACTATTTATTATTTATTATTTCTTATTTATACAAACAATCTTATTTGGAAATAAGGAGGGGTATCCAATAAAAATTAAAAACCCCAAAAGGCCCAATTGATTTCATTATATCATGCTTACACAATTAAAATTATTGTTTGTTGATAAATAAAGTGAGATAACTAGCTAGATTGAGATACACAATAAACTCGATAATTTAATAGGTGGAATTATAAAATTAAAAAAAAAAAAAAAAAACCCCAATGAAAACGGCAATTAATTAAAAGATCGACCATATCAAATCTTTCCACTTGTTCTTTCTATGAGATATTCAATTACACATTCGCCTTCCTTGTTCTCTAGTCTGTCAGCTCAGCAATTCTCCCACGCTGCAGAGGACATAGCTAATAATAGTAACAATTTCAAAGATGTCATTAACAAATAAAGCAGAAACCCGTTTCATTGAGATAAGAAAGAAAAAAAAAAGATAGAAAATCATAGAGAAAAAAAGTAAACAGAATTTTGTTCCAAAAATGTCATTAATTTAGTGAGTCGAGCTCAGTTTCATTTATTTTATTAAATTCGATTAATTTATGAGTCCAGTTTAAGCTTATTATGGATCAACCCAACCTAAGCCCGTCCAAGTAAGTTAAAAATTATATGTTTTATATATTTAAGTTTTCATGATACGGATACAAGATACACTCAAAATCGATGATGACATTTATCACTCAAAATATAAAAGATAGGGAAAATTATATTTTTCGTCCTCAAATTAAATTAAATGGAAGAGTGACACCCTAATATTGAAGAACACCTATTGTCACCACTTTATAAAACTAAATTACTATTGTCACCACTTTATAAAACTAAATTAGTCACCTTATAGAGGATAATAACATTCGATTTAAATTCCATTTTACATTCTTGAAATATAGGTTTTTGACACTTTGCATCCTTCAAAAAAATTAATAGCACTTTGTACCTTTGAACATAATAAATTATGCAAAATGACTCCCCAATGAATTTTTAAAACTAATGATAATAAATTAATATTTTCGGTGGTATTTTTTTAGAATACTAAATGCCAAATCAATTAATTTATATGTATTTATCTTTTCGAAACTAAAAAGTGAAGAAAATAAAAATACTCCTCATACACATTTTTTTCAAAAAAAGAAAATACAAAATAATATTTAATAAACAACAAAAAAACTCTTTTTATTGAAGTAAATAATTAACTAAATGTTATGTATCAAATTAGTTAATTGTTTTTGTGTTTTAAAGATAAAATGGAAATAATAATTAAAAAAAAAAAAAAAAAAAAGGTTTAAGAGTCTGTCAGACAGCTGCTCGACCACCCCAGCCAGCCGAAGCTAACCAAGAATGATCCTCTACTGCGTCAGCTGGCCTGAGCATTCGAGTTTTCGGGTTTCGGGTTTCCACCAGACATAGTTTCCTGTCTCCTTAGAAATCAAGGATACAGAGGTACGAGCCTATAGAACAGATCCTGTTCAAGTAAGGTCGTGACCATAAGTGCTGCGTTAGTTGTATAAATATATGTTCTTTATTTAGTATTTTTCCAATGTGGGACAAAAACTCTGGGCAAACTTAACTAATTCACTTGCGCCACTAATTAAACAGCTGTTACCAACCCCATTCTCCAGGTTTATATAGACAATTTTTCAAGGAAGTATTTTTATTCATTTATGTTTTATTTATTAATAACATGCATTGTTTCATTAAAAGTAAATGAGAAATAACTTGCATTCTACAATACTGACAAACTACTATTACATTTACAAGTAAACTATACATCACATATTGTTAATAAAAATTCAAATAACCCAAACAACTTTAAAGTGTATTAAAATTTCTTTAGACTTTTATATATATTAAAAATTAATATAATTAAAGTATTAATATCATTTGATGATAACAATTAATAATAATAATAATTAAAGTATTATGACATTTTGCCCCCAAACTTTGATGTGTTTTACATGTTACCCCCTAAACTAAAACAAACTGCATGATGCCCCCTAGACTCTGTTATTTGGAGCATAGTTATCGAATCGGAAAATATCGGCGTATCGTTTTCTTCCGTATATCGTATCGTATCGTTATCGTAAGATATTTAACCAACTATTAAAAATAATACAATATATATATATATATATATATATATATATATTTATATATATTTCTATATATATATATATACTATATATATTTATATTTATATATATTTTTATTTTTTTATTTTATTTATTTTATTATTATTTACATCTCTTTTTCTTTACTATTACATTGCATATCTATACTACCTTTTTTCTTGTCTTTTCTTTTTTTACTCTTTTTTCAAAGATATTTTTTTATTATAATTTTTACTATTCTTTC